CCCCCACACCACACCTAAGCCCCGCCTCCCCCATCAGTGAGAGAGAGAGTGTGTGTAGCTCACATGGTGGGTGTGTATTCAGATAACCCTCGCCAACGGTAACCATGTGAGTCTACACAAGGCTCACAAGAATGCGCTGGTTCNACTGCCGCCTACTTCCATCTACGTAACATTGCAAAAATCAGGCATATCTTGCCTCAAAGCGATGCAGAGAAACTAGTCCATGCATTTGTTACTTCAAGGCTGGATTATTGTAACTCTCTATTATCAGGGTTTACCAGAAGTCAGTTAAGTCGCTTCAGCTGATTCAAAATGCTGCAGCACGTGTACTAACCAGAGTTAGGAAAAGGGACCACATTAGTCCTGTTCTGGCTGCCTTACACTGGCTCCCTATAGAACACAGGATATCATTTAAAATGCTTCTTCTCGCCTACAAAGCCCTTAATGGGCAGGCGCCATCTTACCTTAAATAACTCATTATACCCTACTGTCCTACTAGGGGCTAATGCTAATAATGCTAATGCCAGCAAATACAATGGCGGCTTCACAAAACTTTTCAGAGTGTTACTGGGCGTGGTTTGCAATTCGCCCAGCCAATCAGAAATTGGAACTTTTTTCTCTCCAGGAAAGTACCTGCTCTCTAGCAGGGACTGAAAAGGGGGGAAAAGTTCTCATGAACTAAGTTCTCTTTTTGTGTGTGAACGCAAAATCCCAGGAACTATCGGAACTAAAAGGGAAAAGTACTCCGGTGTGAAAGCCCCTATTTCAAAACGTTATGAGACATTAAAGCTCTTAAAAACTGACACAAACAACTTGAGGAGACACTGAACGAGCAGGAGAACTATGTGTAACTTTTTCAGACACACGCAGATCCATACGATGCAGAAACTGAAGCATGAATGTAAAACAATAAGCATCTGTCCCAGCATATGATACCACGTTAGCTTCACCACAGTAAGGGACATACATTTAAAAACGTTATCTCCAGTTTTCGTGTCACCTGAGTGAACCAGCACAAACAAGCTCAGTGAACTAAATTAAAAACTAGATGTTATTTTCCTAAATTTCCCCCAGAAAGTGCAGTCCGACTTGCTTCTTGTTATCGCCGGTTCCAGTCAACTAGTAGCGCTGAAAGAGTTGGCAACATCATCAAAAGTCGCCCATGTGATAGGATTGCACCGTGCACCTAATCAATCTGCAGCGCGCCCGATGTGTTACAAAGCCCAAATAGATTTACAAATGGGAAGTGTGTGTGTGTGTGTGTGTGTGTGTGTGTGTGTGTGTGTTTGTGTGTGTCGGGGGTGTGGAGAGGGATAAGCTCCTGCATAGGATTACATATTGATTTTAAACATATAAAAAAGCTTATCATATCAAACCGTAACAGGAAAAACTCTGGGACCCGGCTATGCATAAATCCCTTTTAGATGGCGAGAGGGCGTCCACTTTAAAACATGCACACATTCACACACACACACACACACACACACACACACACACACACACACACACACATGCATGGAGGCCCCTCGAAAGGGAGCCAAGACACAGCGTTGTGTGTGTGTGTGTGTGTGTGTGTGTGTGTGTGTGTGTGTGTGTGTGTGTGTGTGTGTGTGTGTGTGTGTGTGTGTGTGTGTGTGTGTGTGTGTGTGTGTGTGTAGACATAAGTGTGAATCGGTAAGCAGATAAAGAGGGCATAGTGGATCAATGTTGTGTCGGGAGATGAGAGTGTGGCTACAGATGGCATTTCCTACCTGGCATTTCACCAAGGGGGGGGAGGTATCACAGAACACACTCATAAACAACAACAACAACTCCACTGTCTAAACAAACTCTGAAAACTTTTTGTTGCCATCTAGTAATAACGAAATGTTATACAGCAATACATGTACGATGATACCTTCCTCTCCACCTCTCCTTTCCCTCTCTGAGACTTCTACACGTGTTTGAGATGTGTTTGCTCACGTCACCAAAAACGACTGTTAAGATCTTCTGAGTAAAAATATCTAAGGAAACTTCTGAAGAATTTCTTCTTGAGCTTCAGAGTTGATTTCCCTCTCCTCCTGACTCCTCTTTCCACCTCAAAGCACTTGCTCTTTCTTCCTCTCCTCCTCTCGTGTCTGAGTGTCATGCCGCTCCAGTCAGCAATACAAATGTAGAGAGAAACGTCACGAGTCTAACGTTTTCTTTTTCTCAGTTACGGTGTCTCAAAACGGAGACTGGGCAGAGAAAGCAAACTAAGATAAAACATAAGCTGATTTCTTATTACTTAAAAAGGAATATCGACACTAATGTACAAACTGTTATGAGTACTACACAGGTCTGTGGACTATGTAAGGGCCATCTGTATATTCAGAGAAGGCAGACATCTCTACGGTCAATATCTCTGAATCTCTGCAACTCCCACCAAATCAATCTTGATTCATAAAAAGCACAACATGTAATAATATGTATGTTTGATTTGGGGCTGAACTGTCCCTTTAAGATTTCATTTTTGATTTAATGATCCACATCTGCTACAGCTGATAACCTCAACTTTCTTATACCAATCGTCACAGAGAGATACTGTTAGCATTGTTAGCAGTTAGCTGTAGCTCACATTGACCCGGAGCTGTGTGTGATGCAGTCTGAGGTCCAACATGTGGGGCGACTGAGAGGCAGAGATAGAGGGAGAGTGGTGTGTGTGTCAATGCAGGTATATACTTTTCTCAGCAGGTGTGTGTGTGTGTGTGTGTGTGTGTGTGTGTGTGTGTGTGTGTGTGTGTGTGTGTGTGTGTAAAAAAAACCAGACACATAGGTGGACACAGGAACACACCTGTGAGATGTCAACAGACCAACAGATCCTCTTTATCCAACACACACACACACCACACACACACCTATCTGTGGCGGCTACAGAAAGGTAGAGCCTGTGAATGTTAAGTGCTTCCCTCAGGGAGGAAAATAAGGCTGATAAGTTAGTCAGCTGCAAATCCAACAAGTCCACATGAAGGCAGAGAGGAGCGCCGTGACACGACACACACCACCTCTCCACCTCACACACTATCTCTGT